TGCTAATTTCCAGCTCTAAGTACGTACTTAAGCTATTGACTGACTTTACATTGCCGCATGATGGCTGGTCCGCGAGTTTTAGGTCTTGGGTCCGGAGCGGCGGTAAGTGCCTGGATCTTTTGATAGGAATATTTATTGGCTTCGCTGGCGGCTTCTCGTGGTCCCCAATTTGCTCTGCCTACGTACGCCTGTTCGTCCGCTTCCTTGCATCTAGGCTGCAGCTGTGCCTTATCCTTAGGTTTCAAAACAAGGCATGTTTTATTGTGGCAATATTGATAATTGGGCATTCACAAGTGATTGGTGAAGACATGTATGTTTGCGTGTGTAGACAGGCGAGACAGGCGCAGGTGTGAACGTAAACATGGGTTACCCTGTCTGTTACCCATCAGTAGTGTATCACCCCGACCCCTTGGTAAGGGTTACCCCTACCCGTGGGTTAGGTTACCCACCTCCGTACATAGCCACATGGGTATTCTGCCCTCTAGACACCCTCCTCGCCATGTCATAGAGACAGAGGGACCAATCCAGCGTGCCAAACTCGACTCTTCTTATCTGTGCCCACAGCTTTACAGACACCCACCCAACCCCCAACCAACCAACCAGATAGGGCTTAGTACGATCTAATAAGGGTAAAACCTCACGTAGGCACTGCATGCATGCGGGCGGAGGTAAACGAAGTGAAGTACGAGTTGAGTTTACTCCGGAACCATTGAAAAATAATCCCGCTCCTAGACACCCTCCCTCTCAGACACCCTCTCAGACATGCATCTCGGGCGGTGTATTCAACCCTCGGACTGGGCCACACACCAGCCGGGGGCGGACTCACCAGCAGTGGACCCTACTGAAAAGTTGGATGGCTAGGGTGACTGGATGAGGCAGGGTCTGCCGGGTAGCAGCCGCATTGTGAAGATATGACCCCCCAGTCCCACACATCATATGTATAATTACATTATCAAATACATCACACATGCTGCAACGAAGGTGATTGAGAACTGGGCCAACAAGGCCGCTGGAAATCGAGGTACATCTATTTACGGCCCTTGGGCCTTCGGCTCGTATGGGTAGTCTTACAGGTATGGGGTCACGCAACCCCAACCATGTAACACACACACATATATTTACAAGTCGTTTGCACGGCATTTGCCCGGTCATGGAGCTGCCGTACATATGGATGAAGAAATGCATACCACCGATCACTACACATGGGCACGATGTATGGAAAGAGGCCCCACAAGGGCTACACGAGGTAGACGAACGAGTGGAGTGGCTGATGAACAAACCAATGCCAGAAGGTGTGATTTTGGAGTTCAAGGACCGATTAATGAGTGGTTGGAAGCATACGCGTTTAGATGTCCAGCCTGACGTGTATCCGTCAGACGGCAAGCAACCAGGAATTCACATGGCGAAGTATAAGCATTGGATGGGGCTGGCGGCCGAGCAAGCGGGCAGGAAGGAGGTGCTCCCGCACATCACAATGTTTATCCCACGTTCGGCGAATCGCAAGCTTATGCAGTTTAGGCTTTGCTGTTGGGCACTGGCGGCTAACAGAACGCGTAAGGGACGGCGTTATATACCTAGGGAGGAGCGAGTATGCCCTTGCTGCGGCACTGGTAGCCACATCGAGGATGAGAAACACATTTTGCTGGACTGCCCGGTTTACGACGGAATCAGATCTGATATGGGCTTTCCACGCTTCGAACATATGAAGGACGCTATGAAGTGGGAACCTGAACGCCTGGCAAGGATGCTGGAACGTATATGGTCTCACCGCAACTCTATCGTTCCCTTTGGTCGTTAGTATACTTCATCACTTGTTTCGCTGGAAGTGCGAGGTAGGATGGTGCTTATAGGCGATTTGGCAGCCCTTGAGCCCTCGGCTCGTACTAGGGTGGTTTGCAGGTACGGGGAACGCACCCACGACCATGTAACAACAACAACAACAACAACAACAACAACATGCAATGTGGCTACACATAACTAGCTAGCTAGCATCATGCTACCCCTATAAGCGTAGTAAGTACAGAGTAAAATGACAGCATGCCGTGGCTCGCTCCCTACATCAGCTAGTCAGTACGACCGCAGTGTATGACCGATGAACAGGCTACAGTCTTGACCCTCATGCAAACACCTCCTCAAGGTCTCCAACCACTCTGGACTCTGACACCCCCGCGTTGCTCTGGACCACCAGGAAAATACAGTCCTTGCATGTTGTCGCACGACCTCCGGGCTGTAGCCAGGATCCGTTGCGCCATAACCCGCGGTACAGCACCGGCGGCGGAGCCGTATCGTCGTCACCGCCATTGCCGCCGCCGCCAGCAGTGTGAAGAAGGCGGCGGTGTCGCGGCAGTGCATGGTACTCGTTCATCGTGCCGTTACCCATGACGCACTCCGCCACCAAGTGGTAGGAGCAGTACTCGGTGAGGAAGGGCCGCCGTCTGGGAAGGAGCTCCCCTAGGGCTCGCAGCCTGGAGCCGCCACCCAGGTGCTCGTCCCAGTAACGGGCCGCACTGGCAGAAATGTCGGTGGCGAGGAGGGCGGGGGTGACGCCGAAGACACGAGTTTCCGGATGGGTGGGTAAGCAGCCCCCCAGGCCCAGGACTGCCTCTGTAGCGTTCCACCAACGGTGATGTACGACACGTCGTTGGGGCTGGTATAGGGCCTTCCCTGGCTCCGGGAACAGCCAGTGCGCCTGTTGAGGGCCCACGTGGCGAACCATGAGCACGTCGCTGTCCTGTAAATGGAGGGGACGGAGGGGCAGGGCGTGTTGAGGAGAGGCGGTGGGCTAGTCCCGAACTGCAGCCGCTCACATGCCGCCTGCCTACGCGCCTGCCTCCCTTTACATCCACATAGATGCCGTACATGACAGGTATACACACCCCATCCCACTAACGGCACGTACCATGACCAAGTAATGGCGGGTGCTGATAAGGGAGCTGACGGTGAGCTTCAAAATCATCTGCGGAAATAATTATGATATAAAGGAGGGAACGGGGATGGCACTTGGGGAAGCGCCCTGAGAGGAGAGGCCTTACTTGCAAAGTAGCATGTGATGAGAGTCCGCCGGCACGAGCCGTAGTCGCCAGCATGCGTTCGGCGGTCGTAAAACACCATCCCCGCGACATACTTACCCTCCGTACTCTGGGGATTAGGGTTTTTAACCCGCCCCCGCCCCAGCCGGGCTTACCCCGACCGGGGTAGGGGGTAGTGTAGGGGACGTACAAAAACACCCGAGGAAATACCGTCCAGTATGTCCGGTACATTACAGCACACTCATTCCGATCGATAAATTCTTCTCATCTACCCAACAGCTAGCCTCCTGGCCCCGACGCACAAACCTGCAGTCTGTAGTTGTAAATGTCTATCTGCGACATCTGCTGCCTCTCCACCCCCAGCGCCAGATGCTCCGGAACCACCCACAGTGGAGGGCCGCAGCTGTCGCAGTAGTCCTGCAGGGAGGCCGTACCGCCGCTGCTGCCGCCACTGCTGCTACTGCTGGTGCTGATGCCGGTGCTGCTGTTGGCGCTGGTTGACCTAGCTGCATCAGGCGGTGTGGGCAGCAGCCCGGCGGCCTGTAGCGCCTGCGCGACCTTGCTACTACTGCCGGTGTAGCATGCCGGGTCACAGGGCCGACCGCCCATGTTCGGGGAAACCGTGCGACGCAACGAAAGATACTCCTGCGATTATTTCGTAAAACAATCCTCGTCTGCGTGGTGTTTGCGAGACCGTGAGGGGATTTAGGGTACGGGCATGCTGTATGGGGAAGGGCCGTCCGCATGCGGGAAATCGGCTGCAGCTGCATCGATAAGGGGGTGCGGGGGCGGCCCGCAGAAGGCTTGGCTGTTGTGCCTTACGGGGATTCATGTGCCTTAAGCTGTTGTACTTATTGTCATGGATGCCGTTTTCCGTTGGTTGGCTGCTGTTGGATACGGCATAGATAGTTGCTTCTGTGAGTTCCTTTTAGTCCCTGCCTGCATCCCTTCAGTAGTCATGAGAAATTGACTGTCCATTCTGCTCGTCAGCGGGGCGTAATAAGAGATATAATAATACGTAAGGCTGGACCACCTATGCGCGATGCTGCACCATACGTGCATCATGCATCCGAGAGGTCACCTCGCCTAGCTAGTGTTGTGGAAGGTCGGCCTGGGCTAGTTAGCATAAACCGTCCATGGGCCCCCGGCTTTTACGGACACCCCCGCACTTATGCGGAACTTGTAACTTGTAGCATAAAGTTAGCCCATATAAGAAGCTACCCCGTACGTGCCGTGTGGCACCGTCGCGCTCACGCACTTACCCACCCATCCACCTTACCGTCCAGGGTGTCAGCAGTATCCCCTCGCGGATCAGCTCCGGAGCCAAGTGCGTCTTCACGGAGGTGATGCTCATTAACGCCCGGCCGATATCTTTGAAAGTGGTCAGCAACAGGATGGTCAGCTGGGGAAGCTGATGATTCTGCTGTTGTACCTGTTGCTCGGGGCCCTGCCCATCCAAAGTCCGTTGGTGCAAGAGACGCGGCCGGGGCTGCTGCAAATCCTGGGTCGTATGATGACCGCCTGTGCATTTGCAAGTGTATGGGGAGACCCTAAAATGGTACCCGTACGCTATGACCTGCCGGATGGGCATCATACCCGTAGATCACCTAAAGCAATACACCACAGTCCTCAAAAGGAAATACCTGGTAATAGAATTACCAGTTATTACCATCGCCACAAAACATCCCGGATAAAGTAACATAATTAAGAGCAAGGCTAGTAAAGCTAGCTGATGGAAGCGGCAAATAGCGAGTCTGACACATACATGCATGGCACACACACATGCATGACGCATATGTATGACCTTGTGTTCCCTAGTGCGTAAACCCGAGTGTACATGAGGCCTCTATTGGAGTGCTATGGGTGGGGCCGTGGCTGCTCGCTCCAGGCGTGAGCTGGAACTGACCCCGCCGGTCAACAGCTTGCTTGGAGTCCGTTGTGGCCGTTCCATGCCTAGGATGGATAGGACCATGCAAAACTCCCGAACCACGCACATCCCCTACTTATGGTCCCACCGCAACCATATCGTTCCCTTTGGCCGTTAGTATCCTTTATCAGTTGCTTTGTTTGAAGTGCGAGGTAGGATGGTGCTTATAAGGCGATCTGGCAGCCCTTGAGCCCGCGGCTCGTATTAGGGTGGTTTGCAGGTAACGGGAACGCACCCACGACCACGTAACAACAACAACAACAATATCCCCTACTTCAATGAAAAGGAGCCTTTACACAAGTTCCAAGACATTCTCGAGGTGCAACCTCTGGAATAGTAAATCCTCTTGACTGCTGAAGTAGATACGTGGGGACGCTGTCACCGCCAAGTCAAGCGATGACTTAGCTTACGTGGTTGCTTGCAGTAGTCCTCAATGCATGGGTACACATACTTGCGCTGCATGGCCTTTCCTTCTATAAAACGCATGTGGGATAGCGTACAGGTGTGAGGCTCCATGCTTTGTGGACTGCGTTTCCATGCTGCCGCTGCATTGGCAGGACGCGCCCAAACGGCCATGCGTGCCTCGTGGATTGTCTATAGAAACACTCCTCATACGTACCCGCTTCCGTTCCCGTGTCCTTGTCCTTGTCCGTGTTTACATCCTTTTTTGTGTAGTAGTAGTAGTCCGTGGCCACATCTGCAGCTCCCACCTCATCTCCACCAGCCGCCTCTTGCTGGCTGCCGACAGCAGAGGCCTCTCCGACTCGGTGCTGGTTGGTGGCTGTGGTGCTGGAGGTGGAGGTGGCGGTGGAGGTGGAGGTGGAGGTGGTGCGGTCGCTGATGATGCTGTTGACATTGTTGGTGATGACGAGCTGCTGCCTGGAAGGCGTGTACGCTATGCGGCGGCGATGGGGACGTCCGCTCGAAGTGATGCTGGACAGGTGGCTCCCAGGGAGCAGCAGCACCAAACCCAGCAGCATCGCCAGCAGAGTTATTCTCCCGATCGCTGCATTAGAGACTGCAGAGTCGCGGAGTTGGCGTGAAAGTCGAAGCAGATGAGTCATAAATGTGGCTGCCATCTTAGCTTATCAGCAGTTATGCATCAGTCCAAGAGTATTTGGTGGGGTTATATGCTTCTTGAGTCAGCAGCTGCGCGGCAGTTGCATGTGTCGGTTACCTCGAAGGCCCGCCGGTCCAATCAACAGGCCGGCACGTGTGTACAACTGCTGGCTGAGCTTCCCTATGCATGAGCATTGCCTTGTGCAAAGGCGCTATATAACTTGAAGGTAATTTCAGCTATTATATATAAATGTCATCTAAAGGCTAAATCATTCTGCCTGTCCGCCTTTACGTCCTTTGTGTGTCTGTTGTCCTCGACGAGTGCTCCAAGATATGCTCCAGATTCTGCTTGCCTCGTAGCTGCCTCGTCTACCGCTCATATCTCTGACAGCATGCGGAGATTGCATTGTGATTTCAATGTTTATTTCGTATTGCGTTAAGAGTTGTAAATTTCCGATGCACCTTTCCCCCCTGTTATCAACAGCTTTGTGTCCGCCGCCGACGCCGCAGCCAAAGCCACAGATTGTGAGGATGCATGGACCACGACTCCGAACAGAGGATCCATAAAACTATATCGAACTGTCCTGCTGCAAGGCTATATTGCGTGTGTGTATGTGTGTATGTGTGTGTGTGTGTATGTGTGTGTGTGTGTGTGTGTGTGTGTGTGTGTGTGTGTGTGTGTGTTACACCTTGAGTTGTGTTACGCTCCGGCCGGAGCGTAACACAACCGCGGTAGTGAGCTGCTCAAGGAAGTAACCCGTTGCCCTAGTGCTCTCAAATAAAAGGATACATATGTAGTAGAGGCACTACTAGTGCCGAGTAGCTGGCTTATTTCTGTGCTATCTTCCGCAGCATCGGTGCTCGATTACCCTCTCCTGGTGGCGGACTAATAGCACTCTGCCGACACCCTCTCGCATCCTATGGCCTTTCCGTTGGGGATGTGCTTCACCGCCTGCCCAACCTCATGTAGAGGGTGAAAGGCGCATTGACCAGTCCGGTGGCTCCGAAGCTCCTCCTTCCTTGCAATCACGGATCGCGCACTCCGCCCCGGTCCCGACACCCCATCCGAGCTAGCACGAGCCCATCACCAGTCACATCACAGACATTTGAAGCACCTAGGGACCCTCTGAGCAGCGACTGTATCCGCGCCAGTAGAACTTTTGGTAACCTATAGGCCCCTACCTCTTACATCGGCGGATGCTGATCCCGTGATATGCCCCGGATACCACATCACAATGCGGCAGCGAGCCTTCGTGGTGCTTTGTCCCAAATCCTCTTTCCAACGTCTGTGCTAGTGCTAGCACCGAACCTTTGCAATCCACTGCCCTCGTGCTGCCATTGCTTCCACAAAAGCAGGATCTGGCGCAATACGCTACGGTGCCAGTAAGGTTGGTGATTCGTCAGCGAGGTAGTGGTGTGGTGCGCACACTTCCGCAAATATGCAAAATCAAAACGTAGTGCGCCCTGCCCGAACTACTTTTGTATTCCCTTAGGGCACCCATCGCGATGCAGGGCGGCAATTCTAAGCACAGTACTGCTGACCGGCCTGCGGTTGCTAAGGACTTGGCCGTTACCATCGGTGAATTGCCCACCCACGTGGGTGGGTGCACCCTCTACCAAAGCACCTGAAACTATCAGTGATGACATGAAAATGTGGGGACTCTACCGTCTCGCCAGGGACTATCTTTTAGGTCATATCATGTCCTAAACAGTGTTCGTGTTCGGGCGGCTGTGCCGATGGTTATGTTATGGTTATGTGGTTCGATGGGTTGTCGGATAAAGCTCTGCAACATCAGCCATTCATCATGTCTCTCTGGTCTCATGCCTGTACTGTACTGCTGCTTACCTGTGTAACTTGTAAGTCTGAATGAGCTATCCGTTATTGGCTTCTATCACACTCTGGGAAAACGGGGGTCATTTTACCCGTAAATTTGGGTCAATCCACCCGTAATTTGACAGAAATTACGGGTCCGTAACACGTTACGGGTCCCGTAATTTGAGCACAAGGATACGGGTGAACATTTACAGGCGACTACCCCGGAATTACGGGTGGATATTACGCGGTGCTGCAGGTGAATTTCGGGCGCATGTAACCAAATACGCGCACAATTACGGGTGAAGACCCAGTGATTACGGGTGGATATTACGCGGTGCTGCAGGCGAATTACGGGCGCATGTAACCAATTACGCGCACAATTACGGGTGAATACCCTGTTATCACGGGTTACACGGGCAGATATTACTCTGCGATGTGACGCTTACTGCGTGTTAAATTAACGATTTGGTGAATACTGCGGCAAGCCTCAAGATGGACGCGAACCCCTTGTCAAAGTTGCCTAAGTCTCAGTATGCTTGTGGACCAAGGCGCTTTGGACTCACAACGCCAACCAGCCAGCCTGACAGCCTGATGCATTCATCCCAACCATCGTCCTCGAAAACAGCGTTCATGTCACCCCCATACAGCAAGTGCTCGCCAAGAAGTCTCACCACCACTTGCAGAGTTCGTGCCTACTGCTTACTCCTACGGATGAAACCCCCGATGCATGACATGTACCGGCACCTATTGGGATTGGTCTGTCCCATCCTGCCTGGGGCCGACCTGGTGTGTGCACCCCCAAGCGCTCATCACTGCTGCCATGTTATTGCTCGCTTCCACCACTGCCGCTGCTGCCACTGCCACTGTTGCTGCTGCTAGCTTCGCTATATTTGCCCGTGTCCTCCGAGCTGGACTCCTCCCCAGCGCCAGCGGCTAGGACCTCTTCCTCACCAGCGTCCGACCCACCCTCCGAGCTACCCTCCTCTGTCCGCCCCCTCCGCCCTCCCTTGCCTGCGCCGCCCTTCCCCGCACCTCTGGCGGTCCCCTTGCTTGCACCCCTGCCCCGGCCTGCGCCCTTGTTCCCCTTCAGCCGTTTATTTCCAACCTTGCGCCCCGACCTCGCACCCAGGTCGTCGTCATCACCGCCACCCCGCCTGTGCTTGCCAGCTTCGCCCTTAGCTGCTCTTGGCACCTCGCCGACCCACTCCTTGAACGCATCGTAGTTGGTGGTATCCTCATCCTGGGGGGGGGGCAGCAACACCCAGTGCTTACGTTCAAGGTAAAATATCAGGGTAAGACCCAACAAGCTGCCCTGATGTTGAACGTTGACATAACCCATCAGCACCCCTCGACCTTGTTCAACATGCTCCCCAGGTTCCAAAAGGGTTACAAGGCAGCCCTGGTTGCAAGCAGTCCGGAAACGAGCAAACACTCCTTCACCTGAATCACATCGTTCTCTCCAGACACCCATGCCTCCTCGGCTCCACCGCCTGTGTTGCTCTCCACGCGCCCTGTCCCGCGCCCAGTTCTCCCGCCACTGCTGCGTCCACACCCTCGACCACCGCGCGTGCCAGCGGCGGTTCCGGATCGCCCACGGCCGCACGTGCGGACACTGCTCCAGAGCTGCCGCAGCGGGTACTTCTTGTCGGGCGCCACCTGCCCAATGCCCGGAACGAGCCAGGGGGCCTTGCTCCTCTGGCAACCCCGCGCGACCTGGCTGGTCAGCAGGTCTGTGTGGGCAGAGAGCGCGGCCTCGTGTGCACCCACGGACGCCAGGTCTAGCCGCATCCGCACTGATAAGTCACTCCGCATTCCATCGTATGCCGTACATTCTCCGCCGTTCATGGCAACTCAGCTTGCCGCTTGCCAAGCGGTGTCATTGCGCACGTTATACATAAGCTACTAGTTCCGGAGTAGGTGGTAGCAGGGCCATGGGTATATGGGCCTTAACATCTTACAGGCGTATTTCACTGCTGCGCTAAGTAATCCTGCTGGGGCCGCCGTTGGTCTTATTCGGTGGCCATTTCGCTGCCAGCAGCCTAGTCGGGTAGGCCCTATGAGGAAGTCTTCTTCAGTTCCCATGCCTTTACCTCCTCCTCAGCCAACAGTGCAGCAAGTTGTGCACTGGCCTCGGAGGCCTAGGCTGCTACGCCTTCCTGCTGCCATCACGCACATACATCTCGGCCACATGCAGCAGCAACGACACATGCATCTCCAGAATATATATATGCATACATACAGGCACACTAGGGTCGGCAAATGCTTTCCAAAATAGCGCCACGGTGCTTCGAATCCACCTACCCACCCTACTTACATGCACACAGAAATTTTGCACAGACATTCATATACACATATATACACACGTACGTACCTAGCCCACATTTCGACTGGTGAACAAATAGAGCGGGTACCACTAGACACTGAGCCGTATAGAATGTGCTCGTAAAGGTCCATCAACACAAATATAGATATTCAGGGAGCCGTGATCGATGCACGATTATACAGCACCCTTGCAAACCCCCCTCACAAAAACACCTCCGCCAGGTCGTCGACCACCTTACCCTCGGGCACCCCCGTGTCGCTCTGCACTACCAAGAAAACACAGTCCTTGCACACCGTCGCGCGTCCCCCGGGCTTTGACCACGATCCGCTCTGCCACAACCCGCGGTACAGCACCGGCGGCGCGTTCTCGCCCTCCAGCTCATCCCTGTTCCCGACAGATGCCCCATTAGAAAGGAGGCGGCGGTGTCGCGGCAGTGCATGGTACTCGTTCATCGTGCCGTTACCCATGACGCATTCCGCCACCAAGTGGTAGGAGCAGTACTCGGTGAGGAAGGGCCGCCGTCTGGGAAGGAGCTCCCCTAGGGCTCGCAGCCTGGAGCCGCCACCCAGGTGCTCGTCCCAGTAACGGGACACACTGGCAGAAATGTCGGTGGCGAGGAGGGCGGGGGTGACGCCGAAGACACTCGTGTCTGGGTCAGCAGATAAGCAGCCCCCCAGGCCCAGGACTGCCTCCGTAGTGTTCCACCAACGGTGATGTACGACACGTCGTTGGGGCTGGTATAGGGCCTTCCCTGGCTCCGGGAACAGCCAGTGCGCCTGTTGAGGGCCCACGTGGCGAACCATGAGCACGTCGCTGTCCTGCAAATGGAGGGGGCGGAGGGGCAGGGCGTGTTGAGGAGAGGCGGTGGGCTAGTCCCGAACTGCAGCTGCTCCCATGCTGCCTGCCTACGCGCCTGCCTCCCTTTACATCCACATACATGCCGTGCAAGCCATGCATGCCGTACATGACAACCAACGGCACGTACCATGACCAAGTAATGGCGGGTGCTGATGAGGGAGCTGACGGTGAGCTTCAAAATCATCTGCGGAAATAATTATGATATAAAGGAGGGAAAGGTACGGCAAGACACGCTGGTGAAAAAACGGCCTTCGGACGGGGCTTCAGTCTTTCAAGCAAGGAGCGGCGGTAAGAGTTCACTGTCTCCCCAGTATATTGACGGTTGTGTGCGGCAGTATGGTGGTCAGCATACAGCAGCAAAAGCAGAAGCAGAAGCACAAGCAGCCCCTGGGCCTTCGGCTCGTATGGGTTGTTTTACAGGTATGGGGTCACGCACCCCCAACCATGTAACACACACACAGAAGCAGAAGTACCACAACAGCTGCGTGGTAGCCTACAACTAGGCCAGTACATAACGCATTTTATACTTCTTAATGCTACACCACAGCAAACGCGATATGGCAATAAACAATATTGGCAGGTCCGATTTCGGATTCGCTATGGCCGGGGGTTACATACTGCCGAGTAGAGCGGCCAACTGCATGACACCCATGCACCCGTGTAGCAGCAGGCGTTGCCGTCGTGCTAGCTGTCCATAGCCATTCCATCCCATCTACCCCGCAGCTGGCCTCCCGCCCTCCACGCACACACCTGTAGCCTGTAGCCGTGAATTTGCATCTGCGACATCTGCTGCCTGTCCACCCCCAGCGCCAGATGCTCCGGAACCACCCACAGCGGAGGGCCGCAGCTGTCGCAGTAGTCCTGCAGGGAGGCCGTACCGCCGCTGCTGCCGCCACTGCTGCTACTGCTGGTGCTGATGCCGGTGCTGCTGTTGGCGCTGGTTGACCTAGCTGCATCAGGCGGTGTGGGCAGCAGCCCGGCGGCCTGTAGCGCCTGCGCGACCTTGCTACTGCTGCCGGTGTAGCATGCCGGGTCGCAGGGCCGGCCGCCCATGTTCGGGGAAACCGTGCGACGCACAGCAAGATACTCCTGCGAGAGGTGAAGAACTTTCATAGATGTTGCATACGAGGCGGCCATGCGATTCCCCTCGTTATGGCCGCTCGGTGGGATATATAATGGGGTTAACGCTAAAACCCTAAAACCCCAAAACCCATGACCTGTACTTGCTGGCATGGATGCAGCATAACTGCTTCCTGAGTTAGTTCCTTGGGTTGCGGGTCCAAGTCTAATGCGGTTCCGCAATCCTAGGAAAATGATGGTTCAGCCTGTGATGGTTCGGAGACACAAACACACATATACACACACGCACACGCACACCACACGCACACACACACACACACGCACACACACACACACACACACACACACACACACACACACACAGAGAGTGGTGGCTGGTCGCTGTGAAAAGGCTTCTTAAGACGCTGTCAGGGTGCCTTAGCGCCTTTATAGACAATGCATGTGCCGTACTGTACTATAGCTACTACTACGCGCCCACGCACTTACCCACCCATCCACCTTACCGTCCAGGGTGTCAGCAGTATCGCCTCGCGAATCAGCTCCGGAGCCAAGTGCGTCTTCACGGAAGTGATGCTCAATAACGCCCGGCCGATATCTTTGAAAGTGGTCAGCAACAGGATGGTCAGCTGAGGAAACTGATGATTCTGCTGTTGTAGCTGATCATGCTGCCGTGGCTGCTGCCGTGGCTGCTGCCGTGGCTGCTGCCGTGGCTGCTGCCGTGGCTGCTGCCGTTGTTGTTGGTGTGATTGTTGCCGTGGTTGTTGGTGTGATTGTTGCTGATCCTGTTGTTGCGACTGAGGAAGCTGTATGGTCTGTTCCCCTTTGGACAGGTGGTACAGTGTACGCGACCGTGACAGCTGCAAGTCCTCCGGTGGCTGCCGTGACTGCTGCTGCTGCTGCTGTTGCAGTGGAAGCTGAGTTCCTGGCCGGTGCTGTGGCTGTTGCTGAAGTTGGTGAGGCTGCTGTTGCTGCTGTGGTGGTTGAGACTGCTGCATGTGCCCCTGCGCCTGCCCCTGCACCTGCCCCTGCACCTGGCCTCGCAGCAAGCCTTCCAGCATCGACGATAGCTGCGTCAGTATGTGCGGTTGCTGCGTCGGATCCTGGCCGTCTGTTGGATTTGCGCACGCACGTGTGGGCGTGCGTGGAAATGTGGGTTCCGGTCGGGCCAAGTCCGGGGTTTGCAGCTACCAGCAGGCGATGCTGTCCACCCCATCATCCGGGGAGCTTTCCGCGGCGGCGGACGCATCATCAGGTAAATGGATCCTAAACCTAAACCTCATGACAACCAAAAAGCCAAAACAGACGCTGCCAGGTAACAGCCATCACCTCCATCAAGCAAAATCACCTCTTCGAAGTGTTCAAGTACACATCTCACCCAAGCGCCGAAAATCCTCTAGTAAAGGAAGCCGCACACTCACTTGTGGCGTTGCCCAGAAGTCCGAATATTACTTCCTCCAGAGCCTCGCGGCTGGGGTGGCCGACACCGGTATGGATATCATCAATGTCCATGTGTTCATTATTGTCATCCATGCCGACGGTGGGATCATCGTTGTTCGTGTCCACCTCATCTCCTCCTACCGCCTCTTGCTGGCTGCCGACAGCAGAAGCCTCTCCGACTCGGTGCTGGTTGGTGGCTGTGGTGTTGGAGGTGGAGGTGGCGGTGGAGGTGGAGGTGGTGTTGGAGGTGGTGGCGGTGGCGGTGGAGGTGGCGGTGGAGGTGGAGGTGGCGGTGGAGGTGGAGGTGGAGGAGGTCTGATTGCTGATGATGTTGATATTTTTTGGGGTGGTGAGTTGGTTGGAGTCCAAAGACGCAACGCGGCGGCGGTGCGGAAGGTGCGAACGACGTCCTCCTCCTGAGCTGCTGGCGTTATTAGCCAGGATGTCGCCAGCAGAGAACAGCAGCAGCAGCAGCGTCACCACCAGCAGCACCGCCAGCAGCAGGGTTGTCCTTGCGATTTGTGTACTCCGTAGTGCTGCACAAGCAGGTGCAGCGGAATCAGGGCCTCGACGCGCGAGCCGAAGCAAAACGTTCATGATGGCTGCCGCTGAGGACGGTTTAAGATATGGGATGAGTGCGCCGCAATAACAATAATATTGGGCTCAAACTGGCCGACCGACGGCGCTCAGCCCACGTACTTAATCTTTGATTGACGACATCACAGACTTATTAATCACCAGCTGCATCGTGGTTGTACAATAATATGTTACCTCGTAGGTGCGATCAACAAGTTGGGACAAGACGCTGCTGCTGTTGCTGCTGCGCTGCTGCCCCAACAGGCCTCAAATCAACCGCCGCCGCTGCCTCGTGCGAACCCTTTTGACATGACAGCAGTGAAGCATTACACATCTTTAACTTATTTATTACGTAGCATGCTTCTGTATCTTGGGATTCACAAGTATAAAGATTATTTTTTTGCGACGTGTTATAGATGATTAAGTACACAATGTTACTTAGGGTGTATTTCCAGTGCGGATTAAGGCCAGGGATTAAGGTCCCGCTATTCCCGGCTAATCCCCGGCTAATCCCTGGCAATTCTTAAGGCCTGGGATTAGCGCTGGGATTAAGGCCGTACAAAGGGCGATGCATACTTCCTATGTGATTCTGAAGCTAAAATTGTTAAGTTCTGAACTAGTTTGGGCATTAGGAATTGAATCAGTATTAGATATGAACAGGAAGCGCACTCTTCTCGCCGTTCATCTCTTCATCACCTTTTGAGCAACCCAAAACAGGAATTGCTTATTTGAGATCATATATATGGAACTACCTAGAAATTAACGTCAGACATGGCGCCGTGAATGCTAATCCAGATACGGAAAGTTACTACCTGGCTCGAGCCAGGTAATAACTTTTTTGTCACAGGTTGCCAGGTAAATACATGGGCATCAAGTTCAGTTTATGTTCTTTCCTAATCTCTTGCTAGCTCCCGCTAATCTTCTGATTAGAGAACACGGTGTCCTGAGGAATTTCTTAATCCCCGGCTAATCCTGCTTAATCCCGGTGGGATTTCCACTGCCGGGATTAGCGCAGGGATTAACGCTAATCCCTGGCCTTAATCCGCACTGGAAATACACCCTTATGCCCATGCGATTATTAAAAGTCATGAAAGCGGCGATCTCTTCTTGCGGCTCACGTAGCATTTTTTTAAAACACCTACAGTAGCGGGCGGATATTTATATAGGAGACCATAGGAGCGGCTATCTCCGGTAGCTGTTCAGACATACGCGTATGCACGATCGCGAGCCCTAGGCAGGAGCAGCCTCGCTTCTTTTGCTTCTCCGCCTTGCCGGCTTCGGCAGCCTTGTTGTTGTCCATGCACGGCCTTGCCTGCTGTCAGCTATAGCCCCATTCCGCGTACTTGCACGTCCGCTAGTGCCTGCTGCCTTACGTACATACTCGACGGACCATACAGGCAACCTATCAATCAGGATCATTCTGCAGCCCGCCCGCCATCCCGCAGATGCAGCTCCCGCTGATCATCATCATCATCATCATCGTCATTGCAATATATATCAGGATTATTACGCAGCGTGCAAATGATTAGACGCATCTAGATGCATCTTTCCAACCATACGCACCCTGCGTCATAAGTAATTAAAACAATCCCTGGCATGGCGATATTACAAGGCTTTTGCATGCTAAGTGGCCATTTCCGTCGATATGCTCTGAAGGCCCCTCAGCCCTTCATTCTGAAATGAGCACGAATGAGCACGAAACGACCACTAGATGAAGGGATTCCCGGGAAACGAAGGGAAGCTGGTTCCCAGGGTGCACCCTGCAAAAATGAAAGCTGTTTAAGAATGTTCTCTAGCCGTTCTTAGCCCATACGAATCTATCAGCGCATAAGATGCGCATCCAGCATCTTTTGTATAAGTTGTTGTCGGATCATTGCGTGGTGTGTAACGCCAGCAGACAGGCAGAGAGTACTCCAGGAAGATGCCAAGGGGATCAGATCCCTCTTTACAAAGGTGAGCGTCCATGAATGTATGTAGGTATGTATGTAGGTATGTATGTATGTGCGCTTCCTTTAAGCATACATGCATACATACCGCGGCTGTGTACGTCGCGTCCGATACCATGTGCAACGCTATCCCCTTTTCAGCAGTAGCACATACATCCATACATATATACACATACATACATAAATACATACATACACCACTCACCCGTCCTGATTAAGTCGCACGAAATGACCATCGGTTCCGGGTTTACGTGTCCCCTAAGTACCGGTATACCCACCCCCGAGCCAGGATAGCCGCTGCTGCATATATATACGTTATTACCCAGCTTTCCGTCCAGGTGAATTTGCAACACGCATCATCTGCCTGCTTAATGATTTTGCGAAAAGTAAGGCCTTTTCCTGCGCCCTGCACAGCATGTATGAATCGTCGTGGATCTATCAATTCGTCGAACGCCTCGGCTTTCCAACCACGCCAGAGTACTTCATCCTGTTTTGCTTACGAACGCACCCAACGTGCTATAACGAGGCTACCTTAAACCCAACCACGAACTACGCAGCTACCTACCCGTCATCGCCAATGTCCGATAACCCACTGGCCGTAGAGGGGCTGCTGACGGAGTGTCCCAGCAGTGCGTCCCAAACCAAGCGGTACTGCTTGCATGCAACCCCCATGCAGGCTATATCCCTTGAGGACGGGCCGGGCGGGCTGGGCCCAGATGTTTAACAAGCAGACAGGCATGCAAAACATTACGAGCGGCATCAAAAGTATCAGGGAATGTTCGTTGGTCGACAAGATGGATGCCTTCGTATCCACCAAGACAACCTAGGAAGGGAAGAAGAAGGAAGAGAAACGCGTAGCAGAGTGAAGAAAACGCGGCCTGGGTGTCACTGTAACACACACCAGCCAGATATACGAGTTGTTATTATGACTGGAAGCGGGACGGAGGGCCCCCGATGGGGCAACGCTCAGCACCGTGTCCCATGTCTGGGATACCTACGTACCGTACACGTTCGAGGGTCTGCGGGTAAAACCGAAATAATAAAATATGCGGATAATAACACCGGCCTCGGTATGATGCATTGTCGGTTCGGAGCCTTTACCGAAATAGCGCTGTTCAAAGCAGCCAAGAAAAGCAGCCTCAGCCCCGGCCCCGCCCGGCCCAAGCACGAGCCCCACCCAGCCCCAGCCCCAGCCAAGAACGGCCGAAACACATACACACACATAACTATCACTTAACCAGTCGGCACACCACAGATCGATACACTAACGCGCATATGTACGTACGCAAATATGATATACACAAACGCATTTCTGTGCAAACCCCGTCAGAAACCTCATCGCTTCATCTGTCTCCGCGCATATATGTGTAACACGCAAACCTCACGCAAACACCTCCTCAAGGTCCCTAACCACTTTGGACTCTGACACCCCAGCGTTGCTTTGAAGCACCCGGAAGACACAGTCCTTGCATGTTGTCGCGCGGCCACCAGGGCGAGCCCACGATCCGCTGCGCCACGACCCGCGGTACAGCAGCGGTGTCTTCACCTCACCCTCGCCGCCATTGCCGCCGCCGCTAGCAGTACGAAGGAAATGGTCGTTGCGTCGCAGTGCATGGTACTCGTTCATCGTGCCGTTACCCATGACGCACTCCGCCACCAAGTGGTAGGAGCAGTACTCGGTGAGGAAGGGCCGCCGTCTGGGAAGGAGCTCCCCTAGGGCTCGCAGCCTGGAGCCGCCACCCAGGTGCTCGTCCCAGTAACGGGACACACTGGCAGAAATGTCGGTGGCGAGGAGGGCGGGGGTGACGCCGAAGACACTCGTGTCTGGGTCAGCAGATAAGCAGCCCCCCAGGCCCAGGACTGCCTCCGTAGTGTTCCACCAACGGTGGTGTACTTTACGTCGTTGGGGCTGGTAGAGGGCCTTCCCTGGCTCCGGGAACAGCCAGTGCGCCTGTTGAGGGCCCACGTGGCGAACCATGAGCACGTCGCTGTCCTGCAAATGGAGGGGGCGGAGGGGCAGGGCGTGTTGAGGAGAGGCGGTGGGCTAGTCCCGAACTGCAGCCGCTCACATGCTGCCTGCCTACGCGCCTGCCTCCCTTCACATCCACATACAAGCCGTGCAAGCCGTGCAAGCCGTGCATGCCGTACATGCCGTACATGACAGGTATACACGCCCCATCCCACCAACGGCACGTACCATGACCAAGTAATGGCGGGTGCTGATGAGGGAGCTGACGGTGAGCTTCAAAACCATCTGTAAACATTGGCGTAAAGGAAAAGATCAACAAGAAAACTTGCTAGGGGAATGGTCCTGGACGGTACCTTAGGGGGAAAGGCTTTGCACATCATGCGCGGATAGAAGTTTGATAACTAACTAACTTTAACCGTCATCTACATCCAACTGATGACAAGGACCAAGCACGGCAACATGTTTCTGGACAGATCCGCGCAGCAACCTAGCAAGGAAAACAGCACTTGCATGAGCATTACGACAGTTGTAACCACCAGTTTCCCAATTCATGTTTCAGGTGCAATATGGGCCCAGGGGCGTCCAACCCGCCCTCCACGCACACACCCGTAGAGCGGCCAACTGCATGACACCCATGCACCCGTGTAGCAGCAGGCGTTGCCGTCGTGCTAGCTGTCCATAGCCATTCCATCCCATCTACCCCGCAGCTGGCCTCCCGCCCTCCACGCACACACCTGTAGCCTGTAGCCGTGAATTTGCATCTGCGACATCTGCTGCCTCTCCACCCCCAGCGCCAGATGCTCCGGAACCACCCACAGCGGAGGGCCGCAGCTGTCGCAGTAGTCCTGCAGGGAGGCCGTACCGCCGCTGCTGCCGCCACTGCTGCTACTGCTGGTGCTGATGCCGGTGCTGCTGTTGGCGCTGGTTGACCTAGCTGCATCAGGCGGTGTGGGCAGCAGCCCGGCGGCCTGTAGCGCCTGCGCGACCTTGCTACTGCTGCCGGTGTAGCATGCCGGGTCGCAGGGCCGACCGCCCATGTTCGGGGAAACCGTGCGACGCACAGCAAGATACTCCTGCGGACAATACATATCGTATGATGACGTGTGATGTCACGCACTTACCCACCCACCCACCTTACCGTCCAGGGTGTCAGCAGTATCCCCTCGCGGATCAGCTCCGGAGCCAAGTGCGTCTTCACGGAGGTGATGCTCATTAACGCCCGGCCGATATCTTTGAAAGTGCTTGGCATCAGGATGGTCAGCTGAGGAAGCTGATGATCCTGATGCTGTTGCTCCCCCACGTGGAGGTTTTGCTGCTGCTGAGGCGGTGGCGGCTGTTGTTGCTTCTGCTGCAGTCCCTGCTTTTGCAGCAATGGAAGCTCCATGTCTCCTTCGCTCAGGGCCCTGTGGTAAAGTAGACGAGACTGCGGCATCTGCCGGTCCTCCGGCTGCGAGTGTAGCTGCTGCTGCAGCTGTTGCCCTTGCTGCATCTGTTGTGGCAGCTGCACTTGCACCGGCTGCTGCGGCGGATGTGGCTGCTGCGGCGGTGGCTCCTGTGGTGGCCGCTGTTGAGGCTGCTGCAGTTGTGGCTGTGGTGGCGGCGGCGGCGGCTGTGGTGACTGTTGCACCGGCTGCTGTGGCTGTGGCTGTACCTGCTGTTGCTCTGCCTGCTGCAGAGGCTGCTGCTCCTGCAACTGGACCCGAAGCGGCTGCGGCTGCGTTTGTGGATCCACTTGAGGCTCCGCCTGCTCTTCTACCTGTTCCTGTGCCTGTGCCTGCTCCTGCGATTTCCTGAATTTTGCAGGCTGCTGTGCTCCATCCGGCTGCTGCTCCGCCTCTGAGTGGATCCTTTCCAAAATCGCTAGCAGCAAAGCCGATTGCTGCATCTGCATATGAGAGTGCTTAGTCGTCTGCCGGCCGTCTACGTGTCCAGGTTATGTGCGTGTTGGTGGATTTGGATCGGAGGGGTGTACGGATTAGAGGGGTGTAAGGATTAGAGGGGTGTGCATACGGAATAGAGGGGTGTACGGATTAGAGGGGTGTGCATACGGATTAGAGGGGTGTGCATACGGATTAGATGGTTACGAAAGAACACCAGTCATGCGGATGACGTACGAGGGTCTATGATGGGGCAACCAACAAAATCTCGTGAGAGGCAGGCGGGGATCTCTACGTGTGACTAGGTCCATTCCGCTGCGGTGATACCCACGTGCGACGACTCCCAGGAGGTCCTCCAGGACCTCCGCCAGTGCTGCATGGGTCGAGATGCCGATATCCTCGCCCGCGTCCGTGTTTGCGCCCGCCACAGTGTTTGGAACTTTTTGTTGGTTTTCAGATCCCTTCGCTGTTTGATGTTCGTTCGAGGCGATGGTGGCGGTGGTTGTGATAGTGGCGTTGGTCGTGTTGATGAGATCCCGGATCTGGATGTTGGTTGGGAGACGTGTGGGGTCGGAGAACGCCATGCGGTGCTGCGGAATCCCGCCTTCCGGGCGGACCTCAGCCAGGCGGCCGCCAGATAGCAACAGCATCACCGCCAGCAGACCAAGGAATGTTACTGAGACAAGCGATGCATACACGAATATGCCAGAACCAGGTCCTCGGCGTAAAAGCCGCCGAATCAAAGAGGGCATGACACTTGGCAAATTGGCATCAGAATTGCCCATCATAGTGCTGGGCTGGTTAAGTGTACCTTTAGATTATGCTGTTTGACAATTTATGCTTGCGTCCTTGAAAAGGCAGCTGCATCGCAGCTGTACTACATACGGGTTGCCTCGGACAGCTGCCTGGGCTGCACAGGCGTGGGGATTGCCGTGGCATTGTATGTTATAAATATAATATGGTCAAATATTGAATTATTATCATGTAAATAGCAGGTGGTAACCTAGAAGATGATTTTCTCGTGCATCGTGCGTCT